GAGACGGGGTTTCACCATGTTGACCAGGATGGTCTCGATCTCTTGACCTCGTGATCCACCCGCCTCGGCCTCCCAAAGTGCTGGGATTACAGGCTTGAGCCACCGCGCCCAGCTGTTTTCTCTTCTTGAGATGAAGTTTCACTCTTGTTGCCCAGGCTGGAGTGCAATGGCACAAACTTGGCTGACTGCAACCTCCACCTCCAGGGTTCAAGCAATTCTCGTGCTTCAGCCTCCCGAGTAGCTGGGATTACAGGAATGTGCCACCACACCCAGCTAATTTTTTATTTTTATTATTTTTATATATATATATATATTTATTTAGAGACAGGGCTTCGCCATGTTGATCAGGCTGGTCTTGAACCCCTGATCTCAGGTGATCTGCCCACCTTGTCCTCCCAAAGCGCTGGATTACAGGTGTGAGCCACTGTGCCCAGCCGAAAAAGATAACTCTTTTGCTCCACATCTTCATAGCACATATGGACCCAGCACTATAATTTATTCTTGTATATTATATCACTTTGTAAAGATTGAAATTCTTTTTCCTTTCCTTTTTAAAATTTTTTGTAGAGACAAGGTCCCGTCATGTTGCCCAGGTTGGTTCCAAACTCTCGGGCTGAATCAATCTTCCTGCCTTGGTCTCCCAAAGTGCTGGGATTATAGGTGTGAGACATGGCACCCAGCCTGGTTTTTCCATGTCCTTTAAGACTGTCTGGCATGCCTAGGTCCCTCTCCCTCACTATGGGACTAATGATGCCTAATATGAGAAGAAGAGAAAAGAGAAGCTAGAATTTGCTGTGGCAGCAGCATGAAGATTTGGGAAAAAAAAAAAAAAAAAAAAGCACTTCTTAAATAAGAAAGTTGAGGAGGAAAGAGACTAAGAGCATGTACTAAGCAGAAATCAGTAAATGCTTCTCTAACCACTTGAGACCGTCAAGAAGAGAAAACATAACACTGGTAACTTCTTTGCGTATCTCTGTACATAAAAGTCGGGCTCTGCCTATCCCTCTCTGTGGCATGGATCCTACATCCACAATTGCACTTAAATGGCCGTCGCCTCATTGACATATGCAGGAAGAGCCAAGGGGAAAACAGCAACTTGGAAACAACTATGACAGACTGACTAACATAAAGGACTCTCGTGGGATGTAGGTGGAAGGAGAGGCCTCTGGTGGTAGCAGCTCCCTACCAGAGGTGTCCTGTCCTCTGTTCTCTTGGGGTAAAGGAGCCACTGGGTAGAAGTAGGCAGTCATTTGATAGAAACCACTTACAGGGGATCTTCTTAAATACTGTGTTGCACATGAAACGCTGGAATCGTTCAGCGTAGAAACCTGGGCGATGCACTGAGACAGTGTCCTGCAGAACAGATGAAATGGCTATAGAGTTAGACAAAGGGAGGTCCAGCAAGAGAATCTCTAGTCCAAGGGTCATCTTCCCCCAGACCGAGCCCCTAGGAAAAGGGAAAAATCCACAAATGAAATAAGAAATAAATGCAAGAGGCTGGGCGCAGTGACTCACACCTATAATCCCAGCACTTTGGGAGGCCAAGGTGGGCGAATCACCTGAGGTCAGGACTTCGAGATCAGCCTAGCCAACGTGGCGAAACCCCATCTCTACTAAAAATACAAAAA